AGAAATCTTGCTGTTTATATATAAACCGGTAGAAAAACGCTCCAGCAAGAGAGATCACCAAACCAAGGAGAAGTCAACGGATACCAAAACGAAACGGTATCAAAGAGACGCCGTAATTATCCAAGGCCAGGGCTAGTCATACGCGGAGCTTGTCAGAGGCATTAAAAGCGGCATTGATCTCGATAAGGTGGACGTGGAGGTGTTCAGAATAAGACAAATAAAAAAGGAAAACGTACTCCTTGAAATCAAAAAAGGCAAGACGGATGCTTTGCGGTCGGCTATAAATAACAAGATAGTCGGTGTAAAGACGACAAGCACGACCAAAGAATCAATCGTCTACATAAAGTAGCTAGATAATGTCACTACAACGGAAGAGGTACAAAAGGCAGTTTCTAAAGCTGTTAAAGGAGATATTCGTAGCTGTAGGGTCATTGAGGAAACCCTGGGACATATGCCGCAGATGCTGTTCCGGCTCCGATAGGTCCGCACTGAGCGCATAGCCTGGACACAAAGCCAGTGAGTTTACGGGTAAGCCATATTTCCCGTTATGTAAAGGAGGATCACCAGGTTGGTCGTAAGGGATGTAGATCTATCCCTCCGATGGCGACACAGGCCTAGCATTCAATATCCTACAAATTAATGTAGACAGAGGAAGACAAGCTCATGACATTCTCTAAGCAACGGCATAGGACATCCGAGCCAATGTACTACTCGTCGCCGAACCCAACAAGAATATTGTAAGCTCTTCCCAAAACTGGTATACTGACCAACTTGTAGACGCAGCTATACATATCCGTAGTTGCAACGTACAGGCGCACGGATCCGATGCAGGTTTTGTGTGGATAGTTGCAGGTCCAGTGGAGATTGCGGATTTTGAAGCAGTCTTGCGGTATGGATGAACTTAAAGGGGCCTTGATGTTTTCTATCAAGGACGTCATTTTAGGCGGTAATTCCAATGCAAAGTCGTAAAGAATGGGGTATGCACTTTTCAGATAGACGTAGTGCAATTTTGACAGAATGACTCTCAGAATTATCACTGGTTGTTATGAACGAAGGCAATGCTCCAACTTTTGTCCGAGGAGTATCAACGTCCATAATTGACCTGACTATAACCTCAGAAGACGGTTGACCACACATATGCAACTGGAAGGTCCAAAAAAGACAGCCTGTCTACTATAGCAGGCACATAGCCCCCGACTCTTCGCGCGACCTTCTAGAGGAAGCCTATGAAACAACAAGAAAGGTGCTACGCCAAGCCATTAAATCGTCGAAGGAAAGATACTGGCAAGGATACCAGATAGCAGTCTCCAGAGTGCAGCTTACATCTCCCAACATTGCGATCCCTTTACCAAAGAAGTTGGAATTTGTTTCCAGACATGGGGCTGCAGTTGTGTGGGAGGAGACGACACCTAGTGGAGTGCCACCTTTCAACATTCACAAACTTTTGGCAACTGCGGGCAGACTGAGTCCCAACAAGGTACCAGGGCCTGACAACATACCGTCGGAGATAGTGAAACTCGCGATAATTCCCAGAAACTATGCTGAAGGTGATGAACAATGCTATCACGACTGGCAGCTTCCCAGCAATTTGGAAACGTGCGGAACAGATCTTGTTACTGAAGAGACATAAATCTCTAATGGTAGCAGCGGATTTCCGTCCGATTTCATTATTAGACGCAGCTGGAAAGCTACTAGAATATATGATCCTCGAACGCCTACTAGAAGAAGTAAATAAGACAATATCGGCAAGATACTATGGTTCAGACGGGGTAAATCAACCCTTGATGCTATCAACCACGTGATAAGCATTGCAAATAGCGCGGAAGTAGTGGTCAACAAGAAATTATAATTATGCGCGATGATCACTATACACATAAGAAATGCTTTTAACGCTGCAATACGTCAAGGGATTGTCGATGCCCTGGTGAGCGGAAGAGTCAGAGCAGATACCCTCCGGCTAATTGTCGATTACTTGCGGAATCGAAAGGTTATACTTCGTGATACGGACAGTGGAATTGCTGAGAAACCAGAATACATCGGCATTCCACAGGGATCAATTTTGGGACCTACCCTATGGAATCTGATGTACGATGGAGTTCTGCGGTTACAAATACCAGATGGGATTTCTACAGTGGTCTGTGCGGACCATTTGGCAATAGTGGTGGTAGCAATGATCGAGGAGGAACTGATGAGCAAGGCAAACTGCGCTATCGAAGAGATAATTGACTGGCTAGCAGACCACGCGTTGCAAATTGCGCCGGAGAAAACGGAGGCAGTTATGCTAATACCAAGAAAAGGATGACTGCTATTATCTTTGAGGTGCAGGATGTTATAGTAAGACCGACCAAATCTTTGAAGTAGCTCGGAGTCTGGCTTGATACCAAGCTTACTTTTGCAGACAATATAGACAATAGGGTGCAAAAGGCGTTCAAAATTGTGATGGAGTCGCCAAGACTGTAGAGATCCTAGGGTCAGGAAAAGGAAGGTTCTATGCACGGCGTCGCTATCAGTCCACCTCTATGCAGCACCAATATGGTGGAGAGCACTCAATCGCGCCAAGCTACGCCAGAAACTTGAAGTAGTTGGAAGAAGAGTGGCATTACGAGTACGCAGCGCATATAGCAATGCTTGACTTAAGTTTCCCTCTCTGGAAAGTAGTGAATTCGCTCAGAAAGCGAGAATAACTCCATATCCACGATCTAGTCTTCAAGACAGATGAAAGGCCGAGGTTTTCACTGATATCAGGAAAGGAAGTCCTCACCCAAGTCGTATGACCTGGATAATGTCATTGACGAGGAGTAACATATCTTAAGGAGTTATTTTAAAGCAAGCGGCGTCAGTTGCAGTGCCGTTTCAATTAGTGATTCCTCCTCAGAAGATTCTTCTTCAGAAGATCTTCAATTACAAAAATACTAAGTGAATTACAATATTCATTAAAATATTAATATAAAGCCATTTACAATGCTGAAATCCTATTTTAGGATAAGCAATCCTAAAGGGTACATCAAACATTAGACGCGGCGACATCATAGTTATACTGATAATATCTCTTTGGAAAGCTTGCTATACGACTAATTGATTCTAGTTTGTTTTTAAAAAATACTGAAGATGAACACCTTTGCATTTGTTGGAATAGGTTTTATTGTATTGCGTGTCGAACTTTTGTAGCTTTTATTATTATATCGGATTAATTTAAGTATAAACTATGGAAGTTTCTTTTTCAGAGATATCTAAAACTACTGATTTTTGGTCATGAGTATATGTATAGGGTGATATTTGTTATATTTTAGGTATCCCGGAAGGTGAATTACCAGTTTAACCAAATAACCATATACGTGCTTTGAACTCCAGTGTAGCTGCTAAGTTGGGTGGAGGAGCGATTTATAGGCACAGGTAAGAAAAATAAGTAAAAATATGACTAATTACTAGAATTCTGGTAGCTGATCCTTATATAGTGTATACTTTGTAAAACATAAGTACAAAGTTATATTCAGCACAGCCAGAGTCCCCGGCCATAAATTTCGCCAGACGTTTTAAACCATAAAAAAAACATAATTATTAAATTGAATTGAATAGTTAATAAGGGTCAAATATCCCCCCAAACACAAAAACATTCATCCAAGAGTATGAGCGCGAGGGTACTGTGCTTGCATATTGGAAAGAAGAAGAAGAAACTCAGTATCAAGTCATATGAACTTCGTGGGAAATAAAATGCACCCTTATCAAGGTACAGGGTGTTGAAGTTGTAATTTCATATTCGAAGAAAACTCTTCGGAGTGGATCAAATTTTGTACAGGTAGTACCAACATTATATCACACATACATTCATACATACATTTTTGAGCTTGAGCCGACACCAGTGGCGTAAAGCTTGGGAAATTTCGGACCCCTGACATTGTTTTGCTTTTTGGAATAAATTCCAATTTACATTAATCACCTCTCTTCTGAAATATTTATAAGGGACCATTCAAGTATTACGTAAGCACTGAACAGGGAGGAGGGGTCTTCACTTTTCTCATTTTTGCACCCAAATGTTTACGTAATCATGGGAGGGAGTAAGAGGTTTGCTTACTTTTGCTGACAAGGGAGAGGGTGGGAATTAATAATCAAAACAATCTGGTTACGTAATACTTAAACTCTAAAACCACTTGTTGAGGGGAACAACTAGTTTGAATATTTGAGATGAAATCCTATTAAGATCTTCAACCCGTTCTACTCTCTACCATAGGGTTATTTGAACAATGTTCACGTTTATGTCCTTATTCAGTTTTATCTGTGGCGTAGAAATCTATAGCATCCTGTAGTGTGGTAGTGGCAGATTTTGGGACATATGCTTATAAGAGCTTTTTAGTTTTTTGTTTTTTTTATGTACCTTCTGTCCCAGGAATATTGTCCTTGTTCCATTAATACTTCGTATATATTTAATAACTGTAATAACAATTTTTATTGGTCTAACTACAAATTTCTCGTATTAATGACAGCGGTAGGGTCCAATAAACATAAGATACCCAAAAAAAAGTATACACTTATGCTAAATATTTTTGACAACTAATTTCGTTCAGCAAAGGCTAGCAAATATTTATTGGAATAATTCTCAAAACTGCTAAAATAATGATCAATAATAGTTAAATAAAATGTATTTTATTGTCTCCTAGTCTTAGTCTTAGTCGTCCTAGCTACCATCCTTAGGGTAGTTAAAAGCTGCATCATTAAATTTTACGACAGTACGATACTGTATTACATGTGAACGTAAAGCTGATATCTGATGTATATCGGCAGGCAGTCAAAGTACATATAAACGCTACTCATTGCCCTGGAATCTTACACCAGCTTATCACAAAAGGTCGACCTGCCAAAGTCAATACAAAATCGAACAAGTTATTGATGGTGGTACAATAAATATAAAAGTAGAGTCCAAGCTATGTCACAAAACTAAATGCGATACACAAATAGCACAATATTTGACTATACACGATACTAAATAAATAAATAACACTCACTTCTCTTCCAGCTCTTGTATAAACTGCCACTGTACCGAACTGAATGAAGTACATGCAGCTTCCGGTACTTCCAGCTTCTACGATGACCTCGTCAGGTAAGAAGATTTCAGACTTGAGTCTGGAGACCACTTTCTGCAACACATCTTCTGGAAGACTGCTGAACAACTCGACACGTTGGATGTGCACTTTGGTCACGTGCAGCAGTATTTCCTGTCTCAAGTTATCTGATATCTAAAGAAAAATTAATGCTGATATAGCCAAACGTCACAATGAAACATGTGCAGCATAACTGCTAACGCTCGCTATGGGTTTAATGCTAACTGCATTCATTATGAATACTGTCGGCAATAAAATTCTTTACAGCTTTTGTTTCAAACATTTTTATTGCAATTAACTGTTTCTGAGATAGAGGACGGAGGACGCGCAGCGCTTAGCTATTTACAGCGGAATACATGGTCAACTGTTAGAGACAATAAATAATACGCCGTCATTGAACAATATATATTTATGCTTAATAAGCATTTTTCCTTAATAACTACATTATATTTCTGATATTTTTATTAATCAAAGATATGCTTATATAAAATTATGCTTATATAAAAATTCGCAAATTCGCGAATAAAGAACTATGCTGCCCTTATGGGCCTTCTACCATACATATGAGTTTGTTGGTGGTACAATCCTTCGTATGGGTACTGAAATTTTATTTCGATTTTGGGTAGTAAACCCTTATAAGCACAGAAGCACCCTGTAGGCACCTGATTTTGTGGCAAATCTATACACTATATAGATGTACTCTAAAAGGTCTATACAACATATACAATGAAATCCATATACCACTGACGTCGTGATGTGTACAAGAGTGACGCGGGAGAAGCGTGCAGTACGTGTGCTAGAAAGATATAGAAGCACCTCGTTGCATACCAAGCAGGCCATGGGCGCAGCTGCGGCTTGACGCGTTGCCATCGGCACACTCTTTCTAACAAACATATTGCGCTTCTCCCTCGTACACATTACGACGTCAGCAAAATTTGAACCACACCGTATAAGTTTGTTGGTGGTTTAGGTCTCCGTTTGAATTGAGCAATTTGTTTAGGTTTACATGTGCCTATTCGTTGTAATGGTCTTTAGCTTGCCGCCAGTGTAATAAAGCTTGCCCTAATGCTTCACCGTATCAGATCGATACCGATGACGAAAACGATGATAATGAATTGGAAATTTTAGAGCGATCGGAACATGATGCTGAAAAAGAAATATTGAGACTCATGTTCTTGTAATTAAAGTCGTTGTAAAACCTCCCCATATTTGAATTCCAATCATAATAATTGTTGTATGAAACCATATGTCTGAATGAAAATATAATGAAAGTTTATTTACTTATTTTTTTCTACCTATAATGTAACTAGCATCTATTAGAATATAATTAAATCATGAAAAATATAAAATACAAATATAATGTATCAATATCGATAAAAAAATGCTAATCATGCACAACTATATCTATACATATATATAAAAATGAATCGCTATTTCGCGTGGTCACGCCATAACTTGAGACCGAATTTTCCGAATTCATTCATATTTTTTTAATAGTTTCCTAATGCTGCATAGAATGTTCTTACGCAAAGAAAAATCACGAAAATTGAGCGGGACAGGTTGCTTGAGCATGGAGCACGCACAGCAGAAGAAATATCTCAAGTACCAAAACAGACAGGCACTCCTATCCGCATCTTTATTCCAACAGCTATTGACAGTTGGCTATGTGAGAGCAAATGCTTATGAAAATAGGGTGCTTTCGTTTTTGGACTTGCATTTCTTTACCATCCGTACTTTGTGATTGTCCCTTCAAAAGAAACTGCGTGTTACCTAATTGTTATCGTTGTGAGTAAACTCTATGAATAAAGATGGCGGATGAAACTTTGTTGCTTAATTGACTTTCACTACTCTATCATTTTGAGCTTGACAGCTCGCACCGCCGCAAATTATATTATCGCTTAACAGTGTTTATCGATGAAAAATATTGTTTTTTAACTATTATGCAATTTCAGTTTGTTCAGTGAGTTTGTTTGAGAAGTATTGATCAAAAATAAATTAACAAGGGTCAAGGGTGGAAGTTAGTTCACCGCAACGCCTTTATTAAAATTTGTATTCTTCAAATGAAACCAATTAGACGTACCAACCTAGGTCGCAGAACTTGCAAGTCAAAGATATATACGAGGAAGTCAAAATGATGAGCAACGACAAGCGAGAAATGAAATTGAACGGATCGAAGGTCTGAAATTCAACAACGTAGAGGTGTTGCATTTAATCCCAATCGAGATTCCATTCAATTATACGTGGCAATCGATTACAGTTCACAACAAATTGTTGCTATTGGACCAATGAAAGTTGTGAGTCCACATTGCTAGGCTTTCAAGTTTAAAAATGAAGGCCTCTGGATTATGTTGCGTCAGTGGAAAGATCAAATCGACTCTATTGGTACCACCCAGAGTCACGACATTCATTGGTTTCCAGAAATGGGCCAGATTCTAAACATTTTTTGACTCATATCCACTAATTGATTTCAAGCGACGTCATTTGGAGCAACAAAATTCATTCCACATATTTGTATGCCTACTTTCAAAGTAAGTTGATGAAGGAATGACAGTGCTGCCAACGTATTTGCTAGCCACATGGCGGTACACTTCGCTATACAACTACCTATTCCATATATTTACCCTTTTATTATTTAACTCAGTCCAGTTCATAGCTAAGACAGGGCAACATCTATCGGGTCAACTAGTATTTCATAACTATTTCAGTATAACCTAGTTTTTTACATACTTCTCTGTGAATGCGATGTAGTTCGAGAAAGCAAATACAGCATTATTTTGCATTATTTATTGATATTTAGCACAAATAAACCATATCGCTCCAATTTTATAATTAAAACTAATTAGATACGGCCAAGAAAAAATATTTATGAAATCGATGACAGCTTGCAATGACAACTGAAATGAAAATTTAAATCATCCCTTGAACGTTACTCATGAAAACGTCATTGTTTCACTGATGCCGAGTACAGATCCATTATTTCCAAAGAAAGCCACAAGCCTCAAGGAAGGTATACAGGACGTTTCAAATTCGACCCTCATCACTGGGATCTCGGAAACTGTAAGAGATAAAAAGTTGCTTAAATGGAGAAAATTTGCGATTTAGGTAATAAGCAAAATCCCGCTTAGATAGTTTTGAAATTCAAATTAATTGCGGAGAGAGACGGAAAAAATAAAATTTTCCTAAAATTAATTTTTTCCTGACTTTACTTGCAATATATATAGTGTTGTAAAATGTATGCAAGATGGCATAATTAGAATTTTCATATGACGTTTCATCTCTTGTCATCCAGCATCAACTTTATTTTATTATAGATGCCATATTGGATATTGCAAGACTGCAAAATGGAGTTTTTAATTCTGATTGCAAA